GCCGACCGGAAGTTCTTTGCATTTTCCTTGCGCATACACGCAAAGCATAATGGGTAATTTTGCTTTCCAAGAAAAAGGTCTATAATAAATGCTCATTTTATAAAGACATGGCAGGGGGAAATGTAACTTAATGCAGTGCTTCTTGTACAATCTGAGACCCACTTTATATCGGATATAACTCAGCTAGTGGAGATCGCTGATTTGTAAAGAAAACAGACCTTAAACGCAGCAGTTTTTGCATTGCATATAGTTCGCCGAAAGCTCTTGGGCTTGTCCCAGGCTACTGGCAAATTAAAAGTCCCATTAGCAAGCTTCGTCGCATGCGCATTTCAAAATAAAAGTCCGATATAAGCAAAATAAGTTAAATATTAAACTTTTGTTGTTTGTTGTTTTTTTTATCTCACTCTTTGCGATCCACTGAAAATGTTCCCGCGACCCACTTTTAGGTCATGAACAAGCACTTAGCAGTCAAAATGAAATCGAAAGTGTGCACTTCATTTAAATGATCATATCGCATTTTAGAGTTATGATTACGACAAGCATTTGATACGTTTTTTTTCTTTCATAGCGAACCCACAGTTGTGCATGAAAATAAATGTTTACAATGTCAGTATAACTAATCTAGCCTATATATTGTTGAATATAATCTGATAATGGCAAATGTCTGATTTTACCAGTAAATAAAATTGTCTAATATGACAGATTGTAAGCATATATCTCAAACATAATAATTCAACATCAGAATTATTTTAAGTAGAATAGAATTATTTATAGAAACCAGTAGACCTACACATAATATTATTATCGATGTTCTGCCATATGTTTATTTTTACCATACCTTTATTTTACATCAACAGTATCGTAAGAAAATTATGATCTTGATTTTACGCAAAAAAATCGCGACTCTCATTTTTGCAAGAATCGTGCAGCTCTACTGCCAACTTTCTACTCCATCAACAGAAGCGCGGAACACTAGTCTCTCCTACTAATTGGTCAACTTCTCTGGAACTCACAGTGTATGTGACAAATAATCGCTGCTGTGGGTGAAAGTTGAAATCGTATTATCTTCACACAGCCTCTAAAAACCATGCTGAAAATGCAGTTCTGCAAAAGACGCAAGCATTTATCGGTCACAAACGTCCATCAAACAATGGAAATAAAATATATTGCCTCATCTTGTTAGCTTTTAAGTCAGTCTGTGAGTAAGTGAGTGCCTTCTAACACACACATAATATTGAAAAGTTGTTCGCTGCACCTGCTGTTATGAATAAATACAGTGCTGCGTTTTCATTAAAAGAGATTTCAGTTTTGAAGCTCATTGAATCTTAAATTTAATACACAATTATTGTTTTTTTTTGTTTTTTTATGAAAGGCTGAGCCTAATCTTTGAAAGTTTAGTACACTAATTATAAATATTATTTTATTTTTAATTTTTTTTTTTTTTTTTTTGTACTTTTGCATCACAAGAAGCTCTTTAGGTCATTATCTGATTGTAACAAAACCCTTTAGCTTGTTTAAAATAAACAGAAAAAGTAAGTATTATAGATTTGTTATTATATCTGCTGTACTGTACCCATACCCCAAAACTGAGGTACGATACAGAGGTATAATACACATAACAGATGGTAAAATCCTATTAAAACCAAATGCGTACAGGACCAGCAATTTTACATTTAAGGATAATATATTTTTAGGATACTGATATGCAGTAGTGACATTGTCAAGTATTCGTTTGGAGGTTATTTTAGGCAAACTTGGCAGCTGTTGAAGGATATGGTGAGAAGGCAAATAAAGGATGCTGTCTGTCTTGCAGACTTTTGCATTTGTCAAATACTGACTGGCTTTAACATATCATTCTCTGCAGTCACATGACAGGATGGTGTAGTCTTCATTTTTAAGTATATTCTGAATTATGAATATGGTAATGTTGAGCGAGTCCCAGTTTCAGGAGATGTGTCCCGACTACTCACTTAAAATGCAAGTATGTCACAGTTTTATCTGCAAGTATCAATTATTTACAATTACAGGGATTGTTCACCCAAAAAATGTAAGATCTGTCATGAATTTGGGTATACATGAGAATGATGGATTAATAACTTTTGTGTTTTTGGAAAGCTGTGTGTTGTCAAAATAATCCCCGTTCACACATATCCAGTGAAATAACTAAAAATGCTGTATTGTGGATGCCAGGACAGTGGTTGAAAATGACACACTGTGCAGAAATACACTGAAACAAATGGTTCATTGGATTTACTGATTTATTAGGTAAGTGGTTGCAAATAATTTACATGGGCTAATTTTAAACTAACAAATGAACATTACTCAGTTTATTTCGATTGTTTAAATTTAGCCCATATAAATCGTTTGCAACCACTTACTGCAAAAAAAAAATAAAATAAAAAGAGTAAATCTGATTAATCTTTTTTTTTTTCAGTGTACCACAAGCCTTAGATGCCATTGATTAAACTGGAATAGTGTGCTTACTACTTTGTGGAGGTGAGCTTACTCCTCAGTGAGTATGTTCAAGAGAAGATGAGTGAAAATATATGTAATAAACTCAATAAAGTAAGCAGAATTTGTTATTTAAAAGTGAATTGACATACATTGTTACATATAAAGAACGACTTCCTCATCTGTTTGAACACAGTTGTGTATGAAAAGTACATTTAGATATATTCACATAACATTTCAAAATTCTATGAAAAGCTGAACGTGTACCCACAGCTATTAAAGGGTATAATTTTAGGGATGTTAATATATAGCATTGTCACATTGTCAAGTATTATTTTCTCTAAAACAGATTTCTGAAATTGTTCCTTATGATTGGTAATATAACAAGCCTTTAAGGAAAGCTTAATAGTTATACCAGTTTCACACACAAAACTTTAGCATTTTTGTTTGAGTCAAAATACTCCCACACCTTGTCATTTTCTGAGTTTTCATGAGCCGCTGCCAGTGACAAGGAGAACACTAATGCATGCAATTGCCAATTGCTGAGGTAAAATGTTTTTGTTTTTTTTGTATCAGTTTTAAACATTTTGTATTTATTTAATATGTCTGTAAACAGTGCAATCCCTAGTTCATAGGCCCTCAAAAAGCTGTTGCCATGTAAATTGCCTAAATGAAAGTTTACAAATTCATATTAACTTAAGTCGCGTTTAATACACACACAAAGTGATCATTTAAGGGATTTAATACCATTTTAATAAGCTGTCACTCCTGATGCTTTGTTTTCATAGGGTTTAATTGTGTGATTATTGTGTTTATTTTTAATTAAGTAGCTATTCTTTTAATCTGTATTGTTTCATGGCAGTTTTACAGAAACGTAACATTTGTAAGTAAAATGAACACTTTCATATTTTTGACAGACAAGTTTGCATGAACTGCCATTTTCTACCATAATCTCAATGCCGACAGTTTGTCATATTATATATCAGTCAAGTCCCCAAAAACATGTATAATTACATTTTTCATTTATTCATTCATTTTCTGCCGCTTTTCCTGGGCCGGGTCACGGAGGCAGAAGTCTTTGGAGAGAACCCCAGGATTCTCTCTCCCAAGACACTTCCTCTAGCACCCAAAGCAATTTACATTTTAAATGTTTTTAAATTTTGTTAAATAGATTTACTTATTTATTTTTTATAAATATATATATAAAAAAAAAATATTTTGTTAATCTGAATGAAAATATACATTTACGTTCTCAAGAAACTGGGGGAAATTGATAGAATTGGATAATTTATAGGCATAACCATGTTAAATACACATTTATAATACTTATCATATATTAATTTACAACTTGAAGATTTTATCCATGTTATCCCGGGGAAAAAAATGCCAGAAAGAACCAAAATAGGGTGTTAGCAGTGTTTCCATTGAAAATCTTTTTCACAAAAAACTTATTAAATAACATACACTGTAAAAAAACTCATTGGATCAACTTAATAAAGTTAAGTAAGAATAGTAAGTTAAGTAAGTTAAGAATAAAGTTTTTTGAACTTATTTATTACTAAAAACTGTAATAAATTAAGTGAAAACGAATTAATTTATGTAGTTGTAACTAGCTGAAGTAATTTAAGTTTTCATTTTTACAGTGTGTTTTAGAGTGTGAAGGACATTTAACCATTAGGAAATGAATATAAATCAATAAAAAAACTTTTAAGATAGTATCCCTATTGCTGTTATCTGCGGTAAAAAATCCCTTCACCTTGTCCCAACATCGATGAAGTTAACTTAATTGTTTTTACAAATTTAAGTGGATTAAACATAAAGCAATTAAGTTGTCCCAAAAAAGCCCCACAAGAATTGTGTTGATTTAGCTCATTTTAAATACTGTAGGTAGTTTGAACAAGCAGCAAAATGTTTTTTTGAGTGTTCTTTATGTCAAGGGAAGGTGGTGGGTCTACGTATATCCAGATATGAATGTTTTTTTTTTAAATGATCTAAATAAATTGCATAAACATCTGTTTGGCAACAATCTTGATAAAGCAGTTGAAGAATCCTAATCAACATCTTTATTAATACAAAGCTTTCAGAAAGTAATTAAATTCTTTATTCAGGAAAAAGAATAAGCCGTGAAACAGCACAAGCACAAGCGCATTTGCATTTTGTTTTCATGCAGACGACGAGACAGCAGGGAAAAACTGTGCTGTGATTTAACTAGGTCTTTGTTAGTTTATTCCACAGATATATCTTAGTGCCATTCGCTTCCTTTGTGCGCCAAACAAAAGATTATCAGTGCGAGACCAGCCTTCAAAACTGCACTGGAGGCCCATCAGAAGGCATTATGAGGGCTTTTACGTCCTACGTTTTCCCTTTGATTCTAAGCAGAAATGTAAAGGTGGCTGTTTTTATAAGAAAATGTGCTTGTGGGGAGACATTAATGTGATAATAAAGAGCTCTAGATGTTTGTGCATGTCTTCAGAGGAACAAAAATGAACAATCTTGAAATATTAAGCTAATATTATATACTTTCTTTCTTTCTGCTTTTCTTAATGCAGCTTGTCCGTTTGGGTCCTTTAAAGCATCTCAAGGGGACCAGCAGTGTCTCCAATGTCCCATAAACAGCCGCACCAGCAGTGAAGGAGCTACCAGTTGTGTGTGTCGCAATGGCTACTACAGAACCGACTCTGACCCGCTGCAGATGCCCTGCACCAGTATGCCATTCTCTTATGCTATTTCATGTCTTTTACTGTGGTTTAACTCTCTTCTTTGAAAATCAGGCAGACTTTGATCCTCCAAGCACTCAAAAATAAGTTTTTTTTACAGTATAGATGTTAGATATTAGTTATGTTTTTAAATGATCAATGTTGCATAAAATGGCAGATTTTTACGTATTCATTAGTAAAAGTCAATTGTGCAGCTTAATACCTTTAGGTTACCATAATCCTTAACTAATGCTCTCGAAATGTTAAGTCTTCAAAACACCTATAATTTTGAGTTAATTGCAAATTTCAGTATACTTATTTTTTTTGTACTGTTTGTTGTCATACAGTTGGAAATAACATTTAATGCTGTTGGATTAGTTTAGTCTTGTTTTTAAGAGTGATTAATATAGAGTTTTAGTATTCTATATTTATTATTAATGTATTAAATAATTACAGAATGGAGCCACACTTTAAAAATAGTTTTTTTTACACAAAAAGTGTTTATTTTCTGTTGTGAATTGCATTATGGGACTTTGATCTCTACTCTGTCAACTTTTAATGTTGCAAAATTTAACTCTACACTTTAAGAAAGTGACTTTTATTGACATTTTAGTTGTTTGAAATAATATAATGTATATTAGGGTGTTCGTAATGTCTTAAAAAGTCTTGAAATGTCTTAAATTTCAAAAACTAAATTTTAGGCCTCAAAAAGTCTTACATTTATTGTAATATTGTCTGGTACATAGGTCTTAAATTTCCTTGTTTATGTAAAGCTACCCAATCGATTTAACACATATCCAATCACCAACAATAAATCTCAATAAAGCTTTTAGCAAAACTATTTATAACTAATATTATAGTTTGTTGTGCATACATTTAGTTTATTAAAGTTTTATTTTTAAAGAGTTTTTTATTAGTATGTAACTACAGTGGTGTCGACTTGTTTTGACACATTATGTAAAGTATTTGGCTAAGAAATAACTAATAAGAATTTGTTTTTTGATGGGGCAAAAATTAAAAACCCATAGCGTTTGGCCCTATTTAAGCCTAAAACTTTATAGTAATAATTAATTTTGATGGTATTAGTGGACTGTCTGCTTAATATCTGTTGATACTGCTCCTTCAATAGACATTTAACTGACTATAAGAAACTTTGCAAGTACATGTCATCTTACACCAACCCCAACCCCAATTCTAACCCCCACCTAACAGTCTACTTATAATCTAATGATAATTAGTTGGATTGTAGATGCAATGTAACTTAAATTCAACAAACGGACCATTAAAATAAAGTATGACCAATTTCATTCTTGATGGTCATAAAAAGGTCTTAAATTTAACTTGGTGAAACCTGCAGAAACCCTGTGTAGGAAATTATATAGAAAGAAATATGTCTGTAAAAGAACAGAAATGTACTGGCAGTTTATCACAAGGTTTTTGTACCGTGATATAAAACACCTACCCAGATAATATATCACTTTAAACTAGGGCTGGACGATATTGCAAAATGCAATCTCGATTAATTATTTTCCATATTGAACGATAACAATATATATTTTAATATCAGTTGTTAATGCTTCCAGATTTAAACGAGTACCTCAACAATGACTGAAGTCACAAAAATTAGAGGGTCCATTAAATGGCATAATATTTTCGGCCGATAACTTTTATTCTCTAATATCAATACACTTTAAATTCCCATTGTTGCACATTTCTGCTGTGTGATTGGCTCTTTAATCAACATAAAGTAAAAAAAGTCCAGAGCTTATCATTGTTATTGACATAAAAAACAATAATACAGTTTATTTTAAACTATTAAAATATTGTTAAAAGTCACTTTTTCTAACTTTTTATGCTTAAAAGTTGTTGAAAGAAAGATCAAGGTCACATAATGCAAATCAAAAGCATAAATGAATGTGGAAAAATAAAAACATGAATCACAAAGAACTATTCATTTAATAATGATCATCCATAGCATAAAAATGATGATTAATTTATCAGGTTTCTCTGAACTTATTTTAACTGAACTGTTGAATGTATTTCAGTATTTATACATTTCATAAATTCATTTTCAGTATTGTTAAAGTAAGGCAAAGTTTTTCAGTAGATAAGTCATTTATTAACAGTAACTCGTTAACACAGAAATTTAAGTTGATGGTGTAAAAAGGCTGCTATTTCAATATAAAGCTTTATTGTAGTACCAATCTGCCAACAAAGTAGCTGTCATTTGACACAATCAGAAACATGACTTATTTCAGTCCTGCAAAGTCACATTGAGCCCGTAGGCAGTCTTTTGATAAAGTCTTCCGTCTTTCCATTTTTCCATGCGGTTGGCCCTTTCAAAGCCACAGTTAAATGCAGCAGAAGAAAATGAGTGTGTAACTCACTGAACATTCATTCATTGCAGGAACTCAGTGAGCAGTGCGATTGATTGTCCCTGTGAGATTAACATAATGCTCTGTTCTTGTGGGGAGGTTGGAGTAGTGCTTCACACTGTCAGTGCAATGAACTGCTGCTTTCCGTCCAGAACATTCTTCCCTTTCACTCACGTTTTACATTACAATAAACCACTTCTCTTTTCATCTCCTGTCATTACCCTTTAGGAAATTATTACTTTAATGTTGCTTGTTGGAAAGCTGGGATTACTTTGATCCAGTGTCTCTTTTTTGTTAGAGAAACAGTGATAACAGGCTAATGAATAAGTTGAAATCAGATCTTAAAAACACGAGACAGAGCAGTTAGAGTGTGCTGAGTGTGCAGACTTTCTAGGGAAAAAGACATGGGATAGGACACAAAATTACCTTGCATTACATGGGACTAATTTAGGTGGGGAACTGCTGGGATTTAGTGATCAGATTTAGTTTCATGAAAAATATTTTTTTATAACCTTGTATTTTTGTTGACATCGAATGTCAATTTAAGTTTAAACAAAAGTATTACATACAAAGCCAATGCAAACGCATAAATAGTGCTGAATTTGGCACAAATTATGTGGAATATGTGACATTGTTGTGACAAATCCATGGTATTAGTCTCTTGAATTTTCCATTTTCAAAAGATTCAACTTGAGTGGAAAATGGTGTGAATCCAGCATTCATGGTTAAATTTAACAGGTTTACATGCAACCAAACTCAAATAACACTTTCATTTTCTCTTATTTGTTACTCTTTTATGTTCTAATTTTTTCAAAGCTACCTTTTTCTAGAGTCTGCTCTGCTCTGATTGGTCAGACGGTCTAGTCCAGTGGTTCCCAACCTTTTCCCCTTTTCCCTTTTCCCCTGGAAAAAATTGTAAGGCCCTCCTCCACATTTAACGATATTATTGCTCATATAAGTTTGTAGTAATGATGACAAAAAATGTTGTTCTCAAACAAATGGTATGTTTATTACCATATCTAGATATCTTTATGCACAAATAATAACCTATTGTAAAATATAAAAGCAAAACATCAGTAGGCCATTTGTAACTAAAAAATGTAAGCCTTTGGCCTTTAAATTGGCCTTATTTGACATTCAATAACAAAAATATCAGTATTCACACTGGTCTATAAGGCAAAAATTAATATAGACAATTTCAATGCAATACTTGCTTGTTATTTGTTAAGCTTTGCCAATTAGTTTTGGGGGGGGGGGGGGGGTTAGTGGTGTTTCGTAGGTTGTACAATGCTAGGCGACCATCAACCGTTTTCCCAGAGGAATGAGGATTACAAGCTGAAGCAAAACATTGCTGTCACTCTGATACAAGTTTTATCTATCGAAAAAATTACAAAGCACTGCAGTGTTTGGGTGTTCAGTTTGTCTGAGAAAACTAATCTTACCGAAATATGAATATTCCATACAAGCTGAAGCTAATTGGTTAATTCTTGTCACGTGACTCGCAGTGAGCTCACCTCCGGCTGGAAACAGCAAACTTGTGCAAACTCTAGAAATGGGAACGGCCCCATTTGCGATCTCCATCAGTTGATCTTCCTGCAGAGTCATGCTGGATTCAACTGATTTGTTGACAAATGGGTTGTGAATTCATACTTTGGCAGTTCGTGGGTAGTTCACTGGGTCTTTTCCTCTTAGCAAAGAAACTTTCCAAAGACATCTGTTTCTTATTAATTTTGCTACTTGTGGGTTAAATCTGGGCACTCAAGTGACCGAGATGTAAGCGAGAGTACGGTTATTTTTCAAAATAAAAGAAAGTTCAGACTCAGATAATAAAATGGAAATAATTAATGATTTCTTGTGCGGCCCGGTACCAACTGATCCATCGACCGGTGCTTGAGGACCACTGAGCGAGGGGAAAAAAATGAACTAAGGCAACATGATCATTCTCCTCCTGCTAAGAAATGTTTAAAATATGACGCGACCCCCCACAGAGCTCGCTGGGGCCTCTTTGTGGGCCGCGACCCCCCCTGTTGAGAATCACTGGTCTAGTCAGTTGTACTTAGTCTACAGATTACAGTGCATGTGTTGTAAACAAATCGCCCATCACCGTACTGTGAATTTGTGAACTAAAATGTTTGCACAGTCTCCGCGGGGATTGTACACACTGTAATTTAGTAATTATTGGATCAGACTTTCCATAATCAATTCAAGCCAGTGTTTGATGGTGAAAATTGTATGAAATGTTTGAGTGGTAAGTTGTAAGAAGTGTGAAGAGATAAGACAATAAGAACACACATTTCTGCTGAGCTTCTGAACACAATGGCCAATCAGTGGCTTTTAGATTTTGCTCAGCGGAAAGTTTTGATGAGTTTGCGCATAACTGAATTCTGTGCAGATACAGTAGAAGAGATCAAGGGCTCTATTTTGACAGTCCATGCGCAAAACGGAAAGCGCAGGGCGCAAACACTTTCAGGTCGTCTCAGAATCCATATTTGCTAATTTAAGGATGGGAAAATCCCATCTCCAAGTCCCTACCATCCACAAACCGATGGATTAGTAGAGAGATTTAATCAAACCCTCAAAAGGATGTTGAGGAAATTTGTAAGTGACAACGGCAAAGACTGGGACAAGTGGCTTCCGTTCCTGCTATATGCATACCGAGAGGTCCCACAGGCATCCACAGGCTTTTCGCCTTTTGAACTCCTGTACGGATGGCAGGTGCAAGGTCCTCTCGATCTGGTGAAGAGGAGTTGGGAAGCATCAAGCACTACAGCCGAAGGAGAAACTAACATTGTAAAGTTTGTATTACAGATGAGAGACAGACTTGAGAAGTACCGAGAGCAAGCTCAGGAGAATCTGGAGGAAGCTCAGAAGAACCAGAAGCTGTGGTACGACAAATGGTCTCGACGGAGAGAATACCAACCAGGACAAAAAGTGCTGTTACTATTACCATCTTCCACAAACAAGCTATTGGCGAAGTGGCAGGGTCCCTATGAGATCACTAAGAAGAAGGGTCCTGTTACCTATGAGGTGTTTCATCCAGATAAGGGGAAGAAAAATCAAACATACCACGTCAATCTTTTGAAGGAATGGCGGGAGCAAGGACCTGAGTTGAAGAAAGGTATGTTGGCCTGTAAGGTGGAGACACCTGAAGCAGAAGATGACGACAAGGTGGACTTTGAAACCCCAGAACACTTGCAGTCAGCGGTAAGCCTGGAACATCTGCAATGGAGGCAAAGAGTGGAACTGACCGAAGTGTTAAACACCTACCCAGAATTACAGAGAGGAAAACCTGGAAGAACAAACTTGGTGGAGCACAAAATCTGTCTAACGGAAGCAACACCTATTCGTCAAAGGCCATATAGAGTGCCTGAAAGCCTGATTAAACCCTTGAAAGAAGAGCTGAAGATGATGTTGGAAATGGACATCATAGAACCATCGACTAGTGCTTGGAGTAGTCCAATGGTCATTGTACCTAAGAAGGATGGTACGCTGAGAGTATGCCTGGACTTCAGGAAGTTAAATGCGGTGTCCAAGTTTGACGCTTACCCGATGCCACGCATCGATGAACTGGTCGAGAGGATTGGGAGAGCCAAATACATCACTACTTTGGACCTCTGTAAAGGATACTGGCAGGTACCCTTGGAGAAGACGAGCAGGGAGTATACTGCATTTAGGACACCAGTGGGGCTATACCATTTTAAGACCATGCCCTTTGGTCTTCATGGAGCTCCCGCAACGTTCCAAAGACTCATGAATCAGGTATTAAGAAACTGTGAGGAGTACAGTGCCGCATACCTGGATGACGTAGTCATTTATAGTACTACCTGGACCGATCATGTACACCATCTGCACAAGATTCTGCAGAAGATACAGAGAGCTGGTTTGACACTGAACGTCGCCAAGTGCGAGTGGGCCAGACAAGAAACGAGGTATCTTGGGTTCCAGCTGGGGAATGGAGAGATACGACCACAAGTGGACAAAGTGGAGGCACTCCGCAACTGTCCTAGACCTCGTACCAAGAAGGAGGTACGATCCTTTCTCGGACTGGTGGGATGGTATCGGAGATTCATTCCTCAATTCTCTGAAAAAGCAGCACCCTTGACGAATTTGACGGCTAAAGCCATAAAGAATCCGGTTCCGTGGACCGAAGAATGTGAGAAGGCTTTCATTACCTTGAAAGAAAGAATGTGTACTGTACCTGTTTTACGAAGCCCAGACTTTACAAAGAAGTTCTTGGTACAGGTGGATGCCTCAGCGAGAGGAATTGGAGCAGTGCTTATGCAGGAGGATGAAGGTCAGGAACACCCCATCCTATACCTGAGTAGAAAGCTGTTGCCACGAGAGACCAGGTATGCCACCATTGAAAAAGAAGGATTGGCTATAAAGTGGGCACTGGACAGTTTGAGATACTACCTGATGGGTAGAGAGTTTACCCTCGAAACAGATCATAGAGCCTTAACCTGGATCAATACAATGAAAGATCAGAATGCCAGAGTGACCAGATGGTACCTGTCACTGCAGCCTTTCAAGTTTAATGTAAGATACAAGGCGGGAAAGAGCAATGTCACAGCAGATTACCTGTCACGATTGCCTGACGTCGGCAATCTAGGAGAGGTGGGAGGTAATGTGACAAAGGAGTTTGTCACTGGCCTGCGGCAGAGCTGTACACCCACATATTCACGCACACACACATAACTTACCTTCACTCCAACAGCCGATCTACCGGGTGCACACGGGAGATTGCGCTGTAATAAAAACACATATACGCACAAACACATTATATACTCCATTAATCCTTGCATATTCTGACACGCCATAAATCACACCGCATACATTTGTCTTACCTGTGTGTCCGTTTGTGTTTGTGTTTGTTCGTCTCGTTGCGTTTCTGTTGCGTCTCTCTTCCGGGTTGCGCAATCGCGGCTACGGGAGGCAAAAGGGGCCAAAAAGGTCATGCGCAGCATTTTATGCACAGTGATGCGCTGCGCATGCGCTGAGTGGTTGGGCACCCGGGGGAGACTATGTGTTTTATGTGGGGGATGAAAAGAATGGGAAAACAATGAAAAAAAGCAGTATTCATGACATGTGAAAATGCTGATTTAATAATTTTGGTTTTAAGTTATATAGTAATACAAATGAAGTGTATGAAAGTGTGAAATGCTTACCTGAAAGATTGTTTATGTCCATACTTACCTTATACTTACCTTCAATATAGTTTAATCCAAACTGGGCGGAGTCACTCACTATAAATAGAGTGACTTGTGCTCAGTTCAGTGTGGGAGTCGTTGGAGATAGAAGGTGTGAGTAGTGGCGAATGGTTGGTTTGATAATTCTGGATAGAAAATATTTTGTATATAATTATTTTGTTACTTTATTGTCTTTATTTGTTTGTTTTGTTGTTTGTTTATTTTTGTATATATATATATATACATATATATATATATATATATATATATATATATATAATTTTTTTTTTTTTTTTGTCTACTTTATTTTTTTGGATTTTTGGATTGGACACTTTTGCACTGTAAATAAACGTACCTTGCACCATAGTGCTACGTCGACTGAGCCATCATTTATTTTTTTCCTGTTTCACACACACCCTAAAAACGCCTCTGTGTGACATCCCTTTAAGAGCTAGCTCATCAGTCTCATCTCCCATTCCCTTTTAGAGCCAGCTGCGTCGCACCATAAGCGCATTTGCTATTTACAGGATGTACAGTAAGTGGAAGTGGAAAAACTGAGCATTTCACAAGCAAACAGTTAACAGTTAACAGTTTTTTTACAGAAAACAGTTAAACAGAGCATCTACCGTGCAAGAATGAGAGATAATCAATCTACTTTCACTTTCGTTCTTGGATAGGGAAACCTTTACGCACAGACGTCAATTAGCACCAAATCCAGCAAACAAATAAATGAACAATAATAATGAAGTGTGCTCAAAAACCTGAGTTATATCCTAAAAGCTGTGCCCCATATGGTCTAAAACCTGCAGGTGGGCAAATCTAAACTTGTTTTTAATAAAACAAATATAAATATGCATATAATAATACTGCTAATAATAATAACATTATACAAAACCAAATTGTTATGAATGAACTGAAAAAGCCTCCCGAGATGAAGAAGGCAAAAAAGCAGTGGTTTTTCATATTTATGTAGGCTGGAAAATAATATGTTTTGTAATATTTTAATCCTGTTATATTTATATCCTATATATATTCTTATTATATCCTATATATAGGCCTATCATTAATATTTAAATTTTTTCATATGTAAAGATATTTGCGTATTGCTCTACATCTTGTGTGTAGGCTATTAAGCAGTGTGTAAGCGAGGCGCAACGCTGGAGTTTAGACCGGGTTTTTTTTTGGTCTACTGAAAAATCTATTATAGTTTCTCGAAATAGCAACGCGCTAGCAGTGCGCCTCAGAAAGCCTTCCTTTTTAGACCTGAACGCCTATGGGGCGCACATTTGAGCGCAAATGCATTTGCTATTTAAAGAGCGTAGCGCAACGCCTCAAAACGACTCTTGCGCTAAGCTGAAACTAGCAAACAAGTATTGCGCCGCGCCTTGCGCCACATTGCACCGGGTGTATGATAGGGCCCTAAGTATTTTATTTTGATAATAAATGTTTTTCAACATTGGTTTGACAACCTGAACCAGCCAAAGTGTTAAAAGGATGGGTCAAAGATTAGATGCTGTACACGGGCAGCTAATGCAGATTTATGAAGTTATGGAAGTGAAACTGAGTTACAGACATCTTGTTTCCACCATTTAATATCGACTTTTTCTTTTAGGAAACAGTAACTTTTCTTGTTGTAGCACGTTAATCTTTAAATCTTTGCAGACCTTTTATACTCTCAAACATCTACATTGCATGAAATACAAAATATTAAAAAGCTTATTAGGTGCACTTTTCAAGAATAGTTCAAAATAGTTGACATTTTCCTTATGTACTTAACAGCTGACCATCCAGTGTGTACAGTATATGGCTGACCATATTTTCAGCCAAAGGGAAGTCTGGTTTTGGTAAAAAAAAAAAAAAGACATTTTATATAGGGCTAGGTAATATGGCCCCCAAAAAATCTGTCCCACCTCATTTTAATGTACACTTCATGCTATTAACAAACCATTAAAATTAACTAAGACTTTTAGTTTAGTAAACTAATAATACTAGTAACTACTAATTAGCTGCTTATTAATACTTAGTAAAGTAGTAGTTGGGTTTAGGCATTGGGTAGGATCAGGGATGTAAAATAAGATTATACTTTACAAGTGCTAATAAACAGTTAATATCTTAGCAATGGGCAGATAATAAGCCAGTAGTAAATGGTGGGAATTGTCTTTTTAATTAATTTATTTAATTATCAGTTCAGTTGCTGAAAAAAAAACAATGCTAAGCATAACTTGCATTAGACTCCACTTATTTCTTTAATTTCCATGACAGTCATTTCTAAACGATTTCTCACATTTCACAAAGTAAGACGTACTCCACTTTGAATGGTCTGGGTGTGAGTTTATCATCACAAAATGTTTGTTTTTGGTTGTACTGGTCCTGAATACTGGTATGTGTTTTCTGATGGGCCGGTATGTTTTGACTCTCTGCAGCGGTTCCGTCTGCTCCTCAGAGAGTGATTTCCAGCGTGAACGAGACGTCTCTGCGTCTGGAGTGGGACGTTCCAAAGGAGAGTGGAGGCCGCGAGGACGTGGTTTATAACATCATCTGCAAGAGCTGCGGTTCGGGTCGAGGGGCCTGCACTCGCTGCGGTGACAACGTGCAGTTTGTGCCCCGTCAGCTGGGCCTGACAGAGCCCCGGATCCACATCAGTGATCTGCTGGCCCACACGCAATACACGTTTGAGATCCAGGCTGTGAATGGAGTGTCCGACCAGAGTCCCTACTCGCCTCAGTTCACCGCAGTCAACATCACCACAAACCAGGCTGGTAAGACAAGCATAAACACGGGTTACACTTTCAGACATAAGCTGATGATGCTCATGGTCAAAATGTTTTCAGTTTGCTGCAGGCTCGAATCGACCTTGTGTTGCGAGAGCCTTTGTGTTTTTAGGCTGCTTTCCTGGAATTTAAAGCTGTCGACAGTATAGTAGAGATTGGTCAGACTATAGTAGTTGTACAAATTGACTTGCAGTTGACTTTGGGTTTTGATTCCATGGACCCCTACAATTTATTACACTTTTGTTTAAATATTGAAGTAGTTAACTTTTTATGTTATTTAAAAAAAAAATATATATATATATATATATATATATATATTTAGTTATATTTAATATTAAAAAGTACATGTATAAATATCTATAAGTAATAATTAATTAATTAAATAAAAAATTCAAATATGATAAAGTGCTTTATTGTTGCTCTCCTTCACTTGTTTAGGCCCTACAATCTTTACAGTCTGCTTTTAATATTGTTCAGTCTCATCTTCAGGATCTTAAATTGGTTTTAAATGTAGACAAATCTAAATTGATGATTTTCACAAATTGTCCCACTCCTGTGCCGGACCAACCATTAATTACCACTGCGCAAAGTGAACATAAAAATTTTGTGTAAAGCTACAAGTTTTTATGCTTTTTACTTAATCAGGAGTAAAAAGTTCCTTTAAAGCACACATACAGTAGAAAATTTGATTTGCAAATTGAGTCAAGCTTGGGTTTTACTATCGAAATGAATCCTGCTTTTCTCTTAAACCTCGTAAGCATTTGTTGTCTGCAACATTTTTATGTTTTATATAGCTTATTGCTTGACTATGGTGATGTTTTCTATGTGAATGCCTCAACCAAACCTTTAAACAGCGCTCTGAGGTTTGTTAGAGGCTGTTGTAGACTAACTCACCATTGTTAACTGTATGCCACAGCTGAGTGGCCATCTCAGAATGTAAAAAGGTATACCCACTGGATGACTTTGGTCTACAAGGCTCTTCTGGGACTGGTGCCTATTATATACTATTATATAGACTATAGTAATAGTCTTTAGTCAATCCCTCATCCTGGAATACTCTTCTGTTTGAACTAAAAATGTCTTTGGTCATCCCAATTAAACATTTCGCTCTATCATTTATAACAAACAACAACAGTCCATTTTTCAGTGTATGTGTTTTTAAGATATTGTAATGTAGTATAGCTGAATAACTTAACTGTCTTTTTATTATTATTTTTTTTTTCATAAGTCATGTGTTGCAGATCTTTTGGCCAGGTCACCCTTGATCCCAATGTTTTTTTTTTTTTATCTAGTTAAATAAAAAGAAACTTTATGATATAAAATATGGATCTATTTATTAAACATGATTAGTTAAAAGTGTTTGAATTAGTTGAAGTGTTTAAAAATATATATAATTAGAGTATTTAAAAATAAAATAGGTCACTAACTTCTTAAACAGGTGGTAAACTGTTCTTTTGAAAATAATCAGGCTGCGCTAGGATTTGCGCTAAGGCTCGCTATTCACGTTGCCTGTTATTCTCCTGAGCAGATAGCTTTGACTTTTTTTCACGAAACTGATGTGTTTGCACGTTTTTATCTTCACCTGATCAGATTTCTCACATTTTCTCAATTTGATCCGAGAACCCGAACGCTATAGTCCACAACACTCGTCATATTGCTCTGTACCAGGATTTCAAATGTCAGTCCCAAAAGGAGCCGGTTCAAAAGAAGCATAATAGTGTTTAATAGAGCATTTTAATGAGAGCCGTGCCCCCGGCTGTGCAGCAGTGAACTCGCTGGCCCGATCACTGCAGGCTGGGCCTCCACCGGTGTGCCTGTCAGTCCACATTACCGCTTCACTGCTGCCATTAAAAGACAAAAATCCACCTCACACCACCCGTGTCCCCCCAAAAACACGGGACAATGGCTGGACCGGCTGCTTGGCCAGAGCTGCTTGGCCAGAGTGTGAGCCTCCACAGCACACGAGAACCATAAACCTCCTCCCACACTCAGAGATTTATTAATAATGGTCTTCTGAGAAACTTACAGTACAGGCTAATGGTTTTTATAAAATGCATGATGCTTACAGTATGGCAAGCTGATCTAACATTTAATAAAGGCATCTATTTTCATGCTCCTAATACGGTACCTATTTTTAAGATGCTAGTGTCTTTCCAGTTAAGTACTAATTATTTGCCTTAATCTGAATAAGACAATAATCTGATTAAGGTGTTTACATGAATGTTCCTTTCATGATCCCGTTTTGACAAATGTGATATTGGATGTGAGTATAAACTGCTGGAAGAGTGTTGTTTAAATGGAATTTGATACCGCAGACCGTAAAAGGGGAAGAAAAACTCTGCATTTCGCAATGCATGTGTCTGTGGTCCTTCACTGTTTGGTAGGTGAAGAGAATAGTGTCAAACAGCAACTAAAATCCTCAACGACCCTAATAATTAGTAACAGTAACAGTAAATTTTTGTACTACACTTCAATAATGTGACTAAAAGCAGCATACTCCATGTGTCTTAATTCGATTTCTGTTTAGGTTGATCAAGACCTTAACCAGATTAATCAAAAATCGCTGTTTACATGATAGACTCTTAATCAGAGTATTGTCTTAAGCCTATTAAAATCAGATTATTATTATTATTATTTTTTGATCTTAATGATTATTTACTAATACTATCTACTAATACTTATCCATTGCAGTTGCTGTGTTCCCACGTACCCTTGTTTTTCTGTTATTTCAGGTTATCACAAACTTATTTATTCCAAACTTTTTTTTTTTTTTTTTACTGGGGTTGTGCAATATAAAAAAAAGATATCTCAATATTTTCTAGTATTCTGCTAATAACCAAGTTTTTAAATTTTCTGATATTTTAAAGCTTTCTTATTGACCTTATTCCTTGATGCGGACATGTGCTGTTTTTTTCATTGTTTTAGAACTTCCGGTTCATGGGAGAAATGACTAGGAAACTATCTGCTACCTCTACAAAAAAGTGTTTTTATGATTACACAGACAAAATAGAATAATATAATAAGAAAACATCAGTTTGCAACATCAAGCAGCATAACGTGCTGTTTTTAACATCTAAAAATGAATGGTTGTGAATGGAATAGGAAGTCTTGAGCCAAAAAGATTCAAATGGCTGCGCCCGCTCAAACGTGGAAAAAAAACAAGAGCTGCGTCCCAAATGGCACACTATACACTATGCACTCATGCACTATGTACTTATGCACTTACACACTCAACAGGATAGTACATGTATGTAGTGTCGTCCCAAATGGCACACTAATGTTTTTTTACTAAACGGAAATTCAAACCGTTTCCCTGATGACGTTTGACAGTTGCCAAATCAGTGAAATAAACGACCGAATTATCAAATAATACCTATCGTGAGTATTGCCGCATTCACCATCGGGAGGCGATATAATCACTCTAGTAGGAGAATTTTGCTTTCTCCACCCAAAATAAATAAAGTTATCCAACATGTGCGTCCGATAGCTCCGCCCCTTCCGCTACGTAAGCAAACCTGCGGTCGTTGAGTGCGTGAAGTGTCCATCATTCCACACTTCATTTTAGCGACTGAATGAGTGCATCATCCGGGTAATTAAAGTGCACTTATTATTTTAAGAGTTTTCAGTGTGAACACAGTACTTACACTATTTATACTACAAAATGGCGTAGAATAGTGCATAAGTATGCGATTTGGGACGCAGCTATTGTCATTAGCTTTCTTTTAAAAAGTCATCGCCGATACTGATTTTGAAGAACACTGTGTTAATTATTTATAACTGAAGCAGTCAAGCAGAAACCAAAAAAAAATATTTATGATTGTACAACCCTGCCTCTCAACAATAAAGTTTTTGCTCCACTTATGACTGTTTTTGATCAACTTATTATTTGTAGTTTTTTTTTTTAGGATTTAATTGTTGTTAATTTTTTTTAAACAGAATTTATTCAAAATCTATTTTTTTACATTATAAATGACATTATTTACACTGTTGTACAGTTTAATGTGTCTTTGAACAATAAAATTACATTTTAAATGTTACTTTTGAATAGTACTGTATGCCAGATTCCACAAATACTGATTCAGTTTTTCACACTTATAATAACAATGCATTTTTCTTCAGCTGCAGGGCATCACATTATAATGATGCTGAAGAATCAGATTTTATTTATTAAAAAAAAATCTTCATTTTCAGCATCAAACTCCAGTCTTCAGTGTAGTAGTATTAATATATTAGATACCATTAAATGTTTTACAAGTTGATGAAAGAGAAATGTCTAATGAAAAAGTAACCAATTTCATAGACTAATACATATCTAAAAAATACATATGAGTAGCATGAAAATGTAAACTCGTAGATTTTAAAGATCATCATCAAGTAAAAAATGGTTAATATTTAAATAAATACAATTTTAATTGGAAATTAATTTGGGATATTTCACCTCAGCATGGAGGAGCATGTTATTTCAAGAGCATGTGGTTAAAAAACTTTTTTTTTTTTTTTGCATTGTACAGACCTTTATTCTGGTGACATTAGTCCCATAGATATTCCAGTGAAGTCTTTAATGCATTGTTTTAAGCTAGGAAATTACTTTGTCATTTGCCACAGTGGAAATTCTTGAGGGGGGGAAGAATGATTCTGGGATCCATTTCAGATAAAAATGCTGGTAATCGGTTCCTATTATTCTCCTCCAGAATACCGCAAGGACATATGAATTTATGTTTTTCACTGAGAGAGTACTACTTGTATTTCTCATAAATTGCAGTCAAAGAGAGCAGCGGATGATGAAGTACCACTTACTGCAGACTCTTTGGAAAACTGATCACCTCATCAGACCGAGAGAACTTATTTTCATATATAATGACTTGCTCTGTTTTATAGCAGCATACCTTTGGTAGATTCGCTTCAGACTTTATGGAATTTTCTATAAAACAATAGTGTGTGTTCGAGAAACCATGGATGCCTACAGTAAACAAGACTAAGAGGCTAAT